ATAACGGCATTAGGCGCGAGGTTATGGGCCACACACACACCAATCGCAAACTGCTCATAAGCCTGCAAGCCAATTGAGCCATGAGAGATATAAAGGTACATATATGTACTTGTGCATGGACACTTATATCCTACATACTTATGTGTGTGTGTGTGCACTCGCACCGCCTTAACAACGACCAAATACACATAAAATCTACAAGCCATTATTCAGCATTTATGTAAACCAAGTCAAAATAAATTTGGCAATTCATGAGCACCAAATATAGCAAAATATAAATGAAAATGAAAATGAAAATGGAAATGGAAATAAATTGGTGCTTTATGGATAACTGTTAACGAACACAAGCGCACACATAAATATGTAAATGCGCTACATGCATAGATACCTATGTAGCCACAAACCAATTGAGTGCCTCTTAATGCAATATGATTAAAATACATTTCTAATTTAATATTTTTCTAAACACGCACATAACCATTTTCAATCAAGCAAAACTGTTTTGCGATTCTAAAATTTATTTTTCCCACCAACAAAATCTGCTGACACACAAATTAAAATTGATTTTAACCATAAATATTCAATATGCGAATGATGCCCGTTAACGAAAAAAAAAATGGTAAAAATATTTATGAGAAAAAAAAAAGACAATTCAAATATTCAAACTGTTCGTTCAATTGCAGTTGGGAGAGATCGCCGCAATTCATTCTCGAAAAAATGGCGGAAGTCATAATTGAGTAGTTGATTTGCAATAACTGACATTTTTACAACTTCCTTCCACAGAGCAATATCTGCCAAACAGTTCCTAGACGCACTTATAAAAAAGCACAGCAAGTTACATGCAACAACAAATTATACTTCACACATTGCTGGCAAATGCCAATGGTAAATGCATGCCGCAATGTTGAAGGATATGCATTCTCCATGCATAAGATTTATTAAGGCTGCATAGGGAAAGAATTGAGTTATTTCGAACCAAAGCTTCTTCTCTGTATTTTACAATATAAACATTTTTTTAATTCTGTTAAATATACATAAGGAGGCGTCCATAAAGTACGTGATCGCTTTAGATGGGGGCCTGACAAATGATCGCTATCGATTGCTTTAATCTTTTTTGAAGTGAAACTTCTTTAATGGGCGGTTGGTTTGTTGGGAAATAGTGCAACGGAAATAGAGCAACGGAAATGTTTAGGGCTGCAACAAGTGCTTCTAGAGTGTATGCATGTGGTATTAATTTAACAAAAACCTACTAATAAAAGGCTAAGAATAACACTTAGAAAAAGACCAATACAATAATGTAAGTAAAAGTGAGGATAAAGGCAAAGGTAAAAATATAAACAAAAACAAAGATGCGTAAAGATAAAGGCAAAACTGAAGACCAAGGTAAATTTAAACACCTTACTTACATATATACATAGGTGCAACGGTGAAGGGAACTATGTATGTAGAATCTACATTGTAGATGAAGAAAATGATAGAGACTTAAAAGTAAAAACAAAGATAAATATAAAGAAAAAGATGAGGATGGAACCGATAAAAGTAAAGGTGAAGATAGAGGAAGAAAGATTAAAAAGGTAATTAAAGAGAAAAGGATGTAGATAGAAACAGACTCAATCTGGGAACTATTTTCGGATTTTAGAGATTTTTGGATTATCGGGACTTAGCGATATAATAATCGATATTTTATCGGTTTTGTTATCGATATTTTTATCGATTTTGTTATCGAAATTTTTATCGATTTTTCTATTGATATTTTCGGAGCTTATCGATAGAATAATTGATATTTTAATCGATATTTTTAACGATTTTTTTTATCAATATTTTGTTATCGATATTATTAGTTTGGTTATCAATATTTTTATCAAATTTGTTATCGATTTTGTTATCGATGGTTATCGATTTTTGTTTTCTATACGTTAACGATTATTTATTGATATTTTTATCCGTTTTGTTGTCGATATTTTCATCGATTTTCCAATCGATTTGTCTACCAATTTTATTATCGATTTTGCTACCAATTTTATTATCGATGATGCTATCGAATTTTTTGTCGAATTTGTCATCGATTTTGTTATTGATATTTTTATTGGCTTTGTTATCGATATTTTGTTGGATGTTGCTATCGATTTTGTTATCGATAGAGTATAAAGATGAAAATGAAGATAAAGAAAAACGGAATAACATAAATGAAATTAGAACGAACAGTGGTAGAGGTAGGGATCAACAAAAAAAATATAACATTAAGCAAAAGCAGATGTACATATGTATATTGGTTATGAGACAAATTCGCTATTTAACGTAAGTTTCACTTCTCTAGTGTGGCCCAGGCGCACTTACTTTTTTATTTTTTATGCATGTATGTTACCGCATATCTTTGGACCACGTTAACCGATTTCGATAATTCTTTTTTCATCAAGGATAATTTTGTTTAGATCCGATAATTGGATCGTGAAGAAATTAACGATAATCTTAAATTTATATATGAGAATATAGGTCGGTTTTTTTTTGCTTAAAAATTATTTGTCTTCAATAATTATGGTTTCTCCGCACTTTGCACTACAAAATTTAATATGCACAAATAGAAATTATAAAAAAAAAAACGGGCTGCACAGATCCCTTCTAAAATCTCATTAATTACGACCAGCAAAGAATTTTTAAACATTATTTTAAAATTTTCCTCACAGTGTAAATTTAAAGCTTTTGTTACACACCATACTGAACTACTAGTGGTTTCATAGTGGAATTAGTTCGGAGCTAGTTTGGAAATGCTTTACTTTCCTGTCGAACATTTGAATATGTATTGACAAAAGTTTGCGTAATACATACTTACATACATTCGTGCTAACATACATACATATGTAAGTATGTATGAGTATAGATAAATCTAGGTCGACTCCGCGTATTTTACTTGGCTAGAGATTTATTCAATTTTCCGTCACGGAAGGTAAAATCACATATAAATTTATTGCTATTTTTCGTAGCGATGCGATTGATGGCCACAGGCGGAACCAAATGAATGCGATTGAAACGTTAATATGAAATCACGTTAATAATTTGTACGTTTTTTTTTTTTCTTAATTTTTTGCTATTGGGCGAAAAATATCCGATTAGGCATAAAATTAAGTGCAGAGATTGTTTTATGAGAAGCTGAGATTCATGTATGGAAAAATATGAAAAGAAGGAAAAAAGCTGATGACGCTTTTTTTATTTTCTGCGGTAATAATTTATTATGAGACCTATTAAAGCTCTTGTAACAATTAACATCTATGTTTTTTTTTTTTTTGATTTAGGGTTTCCGCTTCAAAAGTTAAGTGTCTGAATGAGTGTTGCCACAAAAAAAATTACCAAATTCCTCAAAAACAAATGAAAAATCCTCAAAATCCGAACGAATTACTCAAAACTTTCTTATTACAGTTATGAGTATTGTGTACTACATACTATTTAAAGGTATTGGTACATTTGCGGCTCAAACAAAGTATCACCGTTATTTTTTATGCCTTGCTTTGTATATGTTACCGGCCAAACCCGATCTTAGGACGAACTAGTTTATTCTCCTTGCCGTGGAAGCGGCCTTGGGCCGCGCTTCAAAAAAAGAAACCCTCCTCAGTCCAACTCCAGCTACGCAGTCCAAAATATTGTTGCGTCCAACTTTATTGTCCTAAGATCGGGTTTGGCCGGTAACATATATAATATTGCTGCAACTATATCAGCGCTCAAGTCAGGTTTTTTTTTATTTGGAAACTCATATGAACATTCAAAAAAATGTTTCCTATAATTTTCTGGATCTAATGAAGAATCAGTTTTCATTGAATGAAAAGGCAAGAGAGAAAAATCGAAAACTCCAAACTCTTTTACATTGTGAACCGGAAGGAAACAAAAATTCTTTGCTTGAACGCGTCACTTTTGCATGGGGTGGTGTGGCGAAATGGCAAAAGTGGGTTTGAAGAATATTTGACAAGCCGCTTGTGTGGTGTATTTCGATATCTATAAAATTTCGGAAAGCTTTTTGGTCAAAAATTTTCAGATCAATTGAACAACTCTGATGTGTAAAACATGGTTGCATTTATTATCTGCAAATATACCGAGAGAAAATTCCTCAAAAAATCCTCAAAATAAAAATCCTCAAAAAATTCACTCGCGCACCCGAAGTTCCTCATATTTTGAGAAATTACTCACAAAGTGGTCACACTGGTCTGAATTTACTTCCATTGGCCAAAAATCGCTCAATGGTATTAATTTGTCGATATATGTCACTTCCATGGAATTCATGTCCTTAGAAGTTATGTCGAAATCCCAACGTCAAAGGATACAGGGCAATCATAAACCTCTCCAAAGCGAGGATAAGGTTAATAAAACATGTATTCCTATGGGTTACTGTAGATTAAGAGGTCATCTGCATAAGCTAGGAATCTAGAGGAACGACCTATGTCACTTCTGTGATTCGATCGAGGAGACTTCATTACACTTGCTTCGGCAGTGCGAGGTAGTTGCAAAAATATGGAAGGAGGTACCAAAGCCCCACTTGACCAAGTGTGGAATTCATACAATCGCTAACCCTTGGAGTCCCCTTCAAGTATCTGGCATCTCCTGGTTTGGATGAGTGACTGTGAATGGTTTAGGACACAGTAGGCCGCTGTGCATTGCTCTGCAACGTATCTATCTTTCTATCAGCTAAAAAGAAGTACTACCGTTTGGGCATAGTTTGGGACTATGCTTGTTTACTATGAATATATATGTGACTAAATATATGTATGTAAATTAATAGAGCGCTAGCCCAGACACTGTTTAACCGTCGATTGCATTGCACAGCTTCTCTACAATCACTTTATTCAGTTGCAATCAAGTTTTCAACAAATCGCCGTTTTGCGTTAGAGCCCGCAACGCGCGCTGCATACATATCGCTTCATCTGCAGTATATGTACTACATACATACATACATACATACATATTTAGTACACACTCACCATGTTTATTCACCCTATCTCTTCTTTCCATTGCAGATGATCCACTCACCGCCACCAATGCCGTCACTGCGCCTGGTTACCTCAATGCGCAACCCTCATATGCAGACGCTATGCCAAGCGCATTTTATTGCCCTGCCGAGGGTTTGTACGCCGACGACTATGACTGTCGTATCTACTATCGCTGCGAAGCGAAAACAAATGACTACATCAAAGCATACGCATTCGCATGTAAAGTGGGCACCGTTTTCTCGCGCAAACTGCGCCTCTGTATGCCACCCCAGTTGGCTGGCCGCGAGGAGTGCAACGATTACATGAACGAAATTGATACGGACAATGGCGATAATGGTGATGATGGCCAACAACTGCCGCTACTGACATATGGTATTGCCAATAACGGTAATGGCATACATGCGACCGCAAGCAATACTGCCGCTGCCGATGGCGCTGACGCTGACGCTGTCAATGCCGCTGTAACGCGTGGTCAATTGCAAAACTATGGGCTGTCAGGTTTGGGCGGCGTTTCTGTTATTTCCTTTTCCACATCGGCGGCGCGTTCGGCGGATGGCAGTAGGGCAGCGGACGAGCAAGGACCTCCTTGCGAAGATGATGGATTTATGAGCGATCCAGACGATTGCACAATCTTCTATCGGTGCATTTCGAATGGACGCAGTTTCAATAAAATNGTGGTGGTAATCAAGAGGGTAGCAATAACCAATCGAATGCGAATAATCAATCTGGTTCAAGCAATCAGTCGAATTCTAACAATCAGTCAGAATCTAATAACCAGTCAGGTAGCGATAATCAGTCTAGCTCAAGTAATCAATCTGGTTCAAGCAATCAATCCGGCTCGAGCAATCAGTCAAGTTCTAACAATCAAACAGGATCTAATAACGAGTCTGGTGCAAATAACCAGTCTAGTTCAAATAATCAATCCAGTTCAAGCAATCAATCCGGCTCAAGCAACCAATCTGGTTCCAATAATCAATCAAATAACTCCAATAAACCCGGCTCAGATCCAGACTGTAAAAATGACGAAACTTACATCCCCGACGAAAAGGACTGCACAAAATTCTATCGTTGCAGAGATAATGGTATCAGCGGCTTGGAGAAGGTGCCATTCACCTGTGGGCCTGGTACAGTTTGGAATCAGGATGAGAAAGTCTGCGACATTCCGACTAGCGAACAAAAGGAAAAATGCAAAGCTGTGTTAAATATTGGGGGCTCCACCAACGCCACCAGCAATAATCAGCAGTCAAGCAACCAACAATCCAGCAGCAATCAACAATCAGGCGGCGGTCAACAGACTTCCGGTAATCAAACTACATCAGGCAGCAGTCAACAATCGTCGAATAATCAAAGCACGTCTGGTAGCAGCAATCAGTCATCGAATAACAATCAGAGCGCGTCTAGCGCTTCAGGCAGTCAGTCCAGCTCATCTAACCAGTCCGGCACAAGCGGAGGTCAATCAAGTTCTTCAAGCGGCAACCAATCGAATCAGCAACAATCAGGCAATGAACAACAGCAACAGTCAAACAACACAGCCACAACTCAGAAACCCTCCAATCCGGAGGGCATTTGCCAGGATACCGAGACTTACCTAGCCGACAAGACAGATTGTCGTCGATTCTATCGTTGTGTCGATAACGGTAATGGAGGTTTTGATAAAATACCATTCGATTGTGCACCAGGCACAGTGTGGGATCCAGATGTTTTAGGCTGCAACCATCCAACCGATGTACAAAAAGAACAATGCAGTGTTATGGCTAGTAGTGGCAGTGGTGCTGGTACGGAATCGAGCCAACAATCATCGACTTCAAGCTCAAACCAACAGTCATCAGGAGTCAATCAATCTGGCTCAAGTTCAAGTGGTTCAGGGCAACAGTCGTCTAGTAGTCAGCAGACTACGACATCAAGTTCGGGCCAACAAACAACTGGCAGCAATCAATCCAGCTCAACCAGCAGTACAGGTTCTAGTCAGCAATCATCTAGTAATAATGAATCAAGCACTTCCAATCAAGAATCTTCAAGCAGCACCAGCTCAAATAGTACTCAGGAAAGTTCAACAAGTCAAAGTGGCAGCAGTAGCAGTACACAAGGATCCAGTAGCAGTCAAAGTTCCGGTAGTAACCAGGGTTCCTCAACAACTCAGGGCTCCAGCACTAGTCAAGGCTCACAAACACAAGGCTCCTCTACAACGCAACAGGAATCTTCAACATCGTCAAGCGGCAACCAGCAAGGCAGCACAAACTCCACAACACAGGGATCTGGCAGCTCGCAGTCGACAACCGCCAGCCCAGGATCGACAAGCTCGCAAGGTACAACCACGCCAGCGCCTATTCAATCTAAGCCGTCCGGCAATTGCGATAGTAAAACACAATTTTTGGGTGATGAAAAAGATTGTGCAAAGTTCTATCGCTGCGTCGACAACGGCAAAGGGGGTTATGATAAGGTCGCTTTTTCATGCGGACCCGGTACTGTTTGGGACAGCGCAATAGCGGCCTGTAATCATCCGTGGGCGGTGAAGGATAAAAATTGTGGTAGTGGAGGTGCTACGCAAAAGCCTCAACCTACACAAGCGCCAGCAACCCAATCACCGAGCACCCAACGTCCCACAACAAATCGCCCTCAGCAGACAACAAAACCACCCACTCAAGTACAAAAACCCACCACCTCTCGTCCAACACAGACAACCACTACCAGTCGCCCAGGTGATAGTACGCAAACACCCATCGCACCACCACACACTGTAAGCACCCAACGTCCCATACTCACTCAGGATCTTTGTCGAGAGGATGGTTTCATTGGTGATCCGAAAGACTGCACCGTGTTCTATCGATGCGTCAGCAACGGCCAAGGCGGATTTACACAATATTCATTTAAATGTGGAGATGGCACAGTTTGGGACAATGAATTGCAGACTTGCAATCACGACTTAAAGATGTGTAATCCGAATGCGGGCACCGGCAAACCAACTACTACTCCAGAACTAACAACTACAACCACGAGGCCTACGACGTCCTTGCCAACCACACAGGCGCAGTCTACTACTCAGACTCCGGGCCATGATTCTACAACGCAGTCATTGCCGTCCANATATTCATTTAAATGTGGAGATGGCACAGTTTGGGACAATGAATTGCAGACTTGCAATCACGACTTAAAGATGTGTAATCCGAATGCGGGCACCGGCAAACCATCTACTACTCCAGAACTAACAACTACAACCACGAGGCCAACGACGTCCTTGCCAACCACACAGGCGCAGTCTACTACTCAGACTCCGGGCCATGATTCTACAACGCAGTCATTACCGTCCTCGACTACAGATGACGGCAAATATCCGGAGGGTTCAACAACACCAGCAACACCTACAACCTCAGCTACCTATCCAACAACAAAACCAGAGTATACCACAGCCTCTCCAAGGCCTACGATTACAACCAGCCCAACAGATTCTACCACGCAATCCTCATCAGAGTCTACTACAAGCGGTGATTATGCAACANTACTACTCAGACTCCGGGCCATGATTCTACAACGCAGTCATTACCGTCCTCGACTACAGATGACGGCAAATATCCGGAGGGTTCAACAACACCAGCAACACCTACAACCTCAGCTACCTATCCAACAACAAAACCAGAGTATACCACAACCTCTCCAAGGCCTACGATTACAACCAGCCCAACAGATTCTACCACGCAATCCTCATCAGAGTCTACTACAAGCGGTGATTATGCAACGACCATCGGTCCCATACCAAATCTGCCACCAGGTACCAAATGCGAGGGTGAAGGTTTCATGGCGGATCCGAACAACTGTCGCAAATTCTATCGCTGTGTGAATACTGCAGATGGCTATGTCCGGCATGAATTTACCTGCGCTAAAGGCACTGGGTGGAGTGAAGAGAAGCAGACTTGCGATTACGCTGGCAACATTGATAGATGTGCAGGTCAAACCGAGGAACCCGAGCCAGTTGAAACAACCACAAGTGGTAGTTACCAAACCACCACATCTGGATATGAGAAGCCTACTACTACACAATACCCAAGTACAACAACTAGTCAGCAAACTTCTACCGAAAGGCCAACAACAGCTATACCTGAAACATCCACACACGTGGCAACCACTACGATTGCACCGATACCAACAACCACAACGCCAGTGCCGACCACAACGACCACATCAACAACCAGTCCGACGACAGAGGTGCCGACAACATCTCAGCCAACATCACCAAGACCCACAACAATACCAACAACAGAATCTACAACAACCGAGAGCGATTCGACCACAACATTGCAACCGACTTCAAACACGCCCGTACCAAACTTACCAGCAGGGCAAACATGCGAAGGTGAAGGTTTTATGGCTGATCCTACAAACTGTCGTAAATTCTACCGCTGTGTCCGAAATGGCGACACCTATATCCGACACGAGTTCACTTGTGCCAAAGGTACTGGATGGAGTGAGGATAAGCAAACTTGTGATTATGCTGCAAACATAGAGCGTTGTGGCGGCCAGACCGAAGAGCCCGAAACGTCTACAACAGCTACAGAGACGCCCTTTGAGAGTTCAACGACGACAAGACCCAGTGACTGGTCAACCACCACGCCACCCGCATCTACCACACAAGCGCAAACGACAACTGTGCCGACGACAACGGTTCAAACTACTACTATAGACTCGACAACACCACAAGAAATTTCCACTACCACCGCTCCGACCACCACAAGTACACCACAGGGAACAACAACCACACAACTACCCATAACTAGCACAACTATTCAAGCAGAAACTACAGCGTATCCAGTTACTTCGAAACCTGGATATAAACCCACACAAGCCACTTCAACAACAAGTAAACCTGCCACAGAATACACCACAACACCGTCATCAACCACTGAAGACTACCCTGGCACAACTGAAGAGCCTGTTAACTATGTCTGCACTAGCGAAGGCTTCTTCGCAGACCCACATGACTGCAACCGTTATTATCGCTGCGTTGACGCAAAGAAGAATGGCAAGTATCAAATCTATAGCTTCCGCTGCCCAGAGGGTACAGTTTGGGATACGTCGTTGGAGACGTGCAATTTCCCCGACAGTGTTTCGGGTAATTGTTCGCAAACAGTTGTAACCACAACCGAGGGATCTGCGACTGAGTCGGGAAAACCATCGAAGCCAACGAAACCAACGAAACCGACCGAAAAGCCGACAACGGAGCAAACGAATACTGAAACAACAACACAGCCGCCAATTACAACTATACAACCGACAACAGCTACACAACCGACAACAACTACACAGCAGGCGACAACTATACAACCGACAACAACTACACAACAAGCGCCAACAACTACACAGCAGGCGACAACAACTCCAATCACTACGACTACAACTACCGTCGCAACAACAACAACTACTCAACCTACCACTATCCAAACAACTACAACTACGGAATCAACAACGACTCTTCCTCCGGCAACGACAACTACCAAGCCAACTACTGCTCCAACAACAACGACTGAACAATCAACTACCTCTTCTACACAATCGTCCACAACCCCGCCAACAACAACAACTGCGCCCACAACAACAATAACACCTGGTCCAGCAGCGAACGACTCCAAACCCTGTCCTCAAACAGGTGAAGGTCAAAATCTGTTTGTCTGCCCGACAGGCTTCCGCCGATATCCGAAGAGCTGTGACTTATTCTATCAATGCACCGAGAAAGCAGAAAGTTATAATCTAGCGATAACAGTGTTTGAATGTCCCAAAGGAACAGTGTATGACGAGCGAAGGAATCTGTGCGATAAACCACCAAAGGGTGACAACTGTCTGGAGAAAGCGATGACGCGTTCAGCATTCTACGAGGATCAAATAAGGCGCCTAAATATGGTAAGTTGAATGTTGTGATGCCCTCGGAGAAGTTTAAACTTTCAAATCATTTATTTTTCTTTAACCCAAACAGGTACAAATACGTTCCATTGGCGAGCCAATGTGTCCCGGTGAAGGTCATTTTGCGCTGAATAAAGATGAATGCAGTCAGCTCTTCATCAAATGCGGCTACTCAGCGACGACGGATCGTTTGGAAGGACAAGTCTTTCGTTGTCCGCAAGGATTCGCCTACTGGGCGGTGAGTAGACGCTGCGAACGCGCTCAAAAGTTACTCAGCTGCACACCCGCTAAATACGACACTGGCAGCGATTTGCCAATGGAATGGTCGAACATAGGAAATAGGCGTAGAAGTTTAAATATTTAAATACGCATAATTATATAATTATGATTTGATTACACAATATTTATGGTTATGTTTATTTTTAAGCTATATACCACATACACATACGTATGTATTCCGAATCGCATCCGTGCAAAATATTCGAATTGTTTGCGGCGCATGCGCAACGTATACACAAAATATGTACGGCATGCGCCACAAATGATTCACGAATATTTTTTATTAGTGATTAAGTACATAAATATTTTTAGTATTTGTAATTATGGTACTGCGGGCAAGCCTTTTCACGGACAATAAGTCTGAACTAAGTTAAGTCTGTTTTAGTTTAATTTGAAAGTGCTTAGCATTGGGTCAAACTCATTTTGAATGCGGTGTCGGTATTTATTAAATTAAAAGATATAAAATATCATAAACATACATACTTACTGGGCAAATATTACTCTTTAGGTAGAGAGTTAACAGCTCAGAGTTCAACTTCAATTTAATCATTAATTAGTTATAGTATATGTATGTATGTGTATGTCCTTAATAATTTATTAATATTTTAATGATGCGTTATAAGCGTTCCACATTATTGCCATATGAAAAATTTTTAAAAATAAATAAAGAAATATGAAATGCAAAGTCTCTCTTCAATTTTTAATACGGCAAAGGTGAACTATGACTACGGTGACCATAAATAAGAATTTAAGATGCAGGACAATTTTTTTAAAAGATATGTATACCTACACATATTTACGCAGTATAGAAAAAAGAAACACATGTAAATATTTCTTAATTTCTAATTCAAAGTTGCACTTAAATCTTGAACATAAAATACGTTTTGTGAATCTATATAAAAATTTTGAACACCTTTTTTTTATGGCACCGTTCGCTCGATTTCAATGAAACATACACCGATTTAAAGGATATCTTCTTATTTGGCATTGTAACCGCCTAAGCGATTTTGACCGAGTTCAACAAAGCACGCCAGTCGTGTCTTTTCTGTGCCAACTGACGCCAATTGGAAATGCCATGTGAAGTCGAGTCCTTCTCCATCTGGTCTTTCCATCGCAGTGGGGGCCTCCCTCTTCCTCTGGGTTCCAAGTTGAATACTTTCAGAGCTGTAGCGTCGGGGTTCATTCGAACGACATGGCCAAGCCAATGGAGCCGCTGTATTTTAATTCGCTGCACCATGTCCATGTCGTTGTAAAGCTCATACAGCTCATCGTTCCATCGTCTGCGGTACTCGCCGTCGCCAACGCGTAAAGGCCCGTAAATCTTCCGCAAAATCTTTATCTCGAATACTCCAAGAGGCGCCTCATCGGATGTTGTCATTGTCCATGCTTCTACGCCATATACCAGCACAGTCATGATGAGTGACTTATAGAGTGTGATTTTCGTACGACGAGAGATAACTTTAGTTCTCTCCTCCCATACAAAATGCAATGTATGCCATGTCGCTTATCTCTGGAACCATTTATAATAAGGTAGTTGAATTGGATACACATATAAAATGGCAAGAACCATTCAATAGGCAACCATTTTGTCCCATATTTCTAAATCGCATTGGATGATTGTTATTTTGTGCAGGGTTTTTAAAAGGATTAGTGTGTTTGTCTTCCGATAGGTGGCGCATCTTTAAAACACATTTTAGTAGCATAAAATTTGGTGTAACTTGGTAGCCCAATCGCGTGATGCAAAAATATTGGGCTGTTACCGAATCTCAATGTTGCCAAACATAGGCTTTTCCTTCCAAAACTGGTAGATTTTTTTCCATTTGGTAGGTTGGTAGGCTAGATTGGATTTTGGAAGATTCCACGTTAATAACAGTAATTTGTGAAAAATATAAAATATGTATTTCCAAAAGTTTTAGCAACCTTGTTTACACGAATATTTCACCGGTGGAGTCCACTATTGTACACCTGACAGCGACTTCATTCTTAAACTTGAGGAATACCACCAAAACTAACCTATTGGTCTTTTATTATGCTAGTAAGACCCGTTGTTCCGCAAAACCGCGTAACTCACATTTTTTGCTGAAAATTGGATTTGCTCATACAAGTTCAAGCATTATCCATTCGTCCTGAAATATACTAGCCAGAAATGCGATTGTTTTATAAAAGAGATAACCATTTTGAAATGAGTGTTTTTACTCTCTAGAAAATAATTTACGCAACCTCACATACGCCGTTTGGCATTTTGTTTATACGCGGTTTTATACTTTAAACGACGATATGCGGCACGGTCCGGGTGATCAAAAGCTACGCAAGTAATGGCGTGCTGCAAAGCAAGCTGCACCGACTGGTCCGCGTGGCCATTACAGGACCAATGGGTACCTGTCTTTGTCTATTCTGTTTGAAAAAGGGGCCTGCTGGAGCACCCTATGACTGCCCAATATGATCAGCAAGAAAATTCGGCGTCATTTGCAGGTTGTGAAGCCACTTCTGGATAATCCCGACAACCCTACAAGAATAGAATTCCTGAAAGGGACTACTACGAAATGATAATAACTATGATTGACGAAAGTCCCAAGCATGGTATACCGACGGATAAAAGATGGACGACAAGAGTACTGGGGCGGTCGTATTTGGACCAAAGTTTCCGAAAGTCTGCCGCAGCGCGTGTATCCCCGTCATAATAATAACAATAATATGTATCTGTAAAGAGTCAAACATTTGTGTAAGTCTGTACAGTAAAATGAATTGCTATACGTAGTTAATTTTAATATTAAAAACTTAAATAAAATTTTGGTTGAATTTATTAGGAAGTTTTGGTAGGGGAAAAAAATCCGTGGCAACACTGCCCAATCTTGACAAAACATCCGTGTGAAACCGCCGTTAGAAAAGGAATTATTATATTTTATGTACACCTTCGAGTTGCTTTCTTAATCTCTACCGATTCTGATTAAAACAAATGGGAGTTCATGTAGAAGTTGGCAATTTAGTTTTTAACCTTCCAAAAGGCTCTCAGACCAATATAATCGAAAAACGTATTTACAGTCTGAATTGGTATACATACATATGTTTAACATATTAGTCAGGCATATCATATTTACATGCAAATACTTATGTATGTATATTTTTTATAAATGATAATTGAGGTTCCGTTTTCAGTCCAATTTCGAAAGATACTGAAAAAATTTGGAAGAGACTCGGTTACTAAAATTACGAGCAATCAAGCCAGTAATAACCTTCATAATTCGATTTAAAGTTTTCAGTAAATTCCCAATAAATTTTGCTGAAGGTGTTCAAAATCGTCATTCGCATAAAAAAGTTAATTTTGGTGGCAAGCAAAATTCTTAAGTGTATAAAAATGATGTCGAATTTCGACAGCTCTTTCTTTAAATTGATATTTAAAAAATATAATAAAACATATTATAATTACACAAGAATAATTGGAGAATTTTCTTTGGGTCGTTCAACAAGAAAATTTCAACATTTTTTCAAAAAAGGGGTTTCGAGATATTTCGAATCTCATGAATCGACGTAAAGGACCTACAGTTCGAAAGGTATGATGTGCCGTTTACAAAAATATATAATTTGTGCAGATTGTGTATGCACATTTCTCAACTGATTTCCATTATCTTGGGTTCAGAACATACAATAATTTTTTTTTACATCGAATTTTAAAAATAATTAGTCCATTCAATAACTTTTCCAGTAAGTGTATAGCCTTGTTTAGAGAAAATACATGAAAAGCCCCATTTTTTTTATCCAACAAAATATCAATACCTCAAAAATTTTTGCTTATCAGGTAGCTCACCGCCCCAAACCAACCCTAGCTAGGCTGCAATGATGAGATAGCCAGGAATAAATCGTTCTCCGAAACCGAGAATGGGTGACAAAGAAGTTGAGGGGAGTATGGGTATTGATAAATCATGTTTTTCCAAAGACCCTCCGAAAAAAGTCCGCCAACAAGTCACGAGCATCAAGCGTATTGTGATAAGTGATGTTTTCA